CAACGACAAGTTCACAGAATGACACAGAGTTCAGTTACTACTGACGCTCAATCGTAGCACGCGTAGTTTCCCGTCACTTCCAGCAACAGCCAATTCACATCTGTCTCTTGGGTTAACTCTGAATCAAAACTTGATGAGCCGTATATCGAAATTTCGAGTTTTCAAATTCACCTCAATCGCGTGATGGGGCTATCCACTGGTATGGATGGAACAAACAGTCGTGAGAGGGGCTGAAGTTGATTTTCATGTAGATGTAGTAGCAGTACTGAACCATCTTGGAGGCCACCAGCAATTATTGCATCGCTTAAAACAGTAAACGTCTGAGTGCAGGGAAAAGCTTTCAGCAGTGCCACACACTACCTCAGTCCAGTGCCGCAACATACTGCAACGCTTGTGGCTGCTTGTTGACACTTGAAGGAGCAGACTGGAGCTGTGTTTTCGTCGTTGCATTTCCATATAATTATCTAGAACAGTAAAATCTAACAATAAAAGTTGTGAGCAGATTTAGAAGCTCAAAATCTTTCGTGGTTGTCTTTTTCAGTGAAGTAGTGATCATATCCTAGAACTGTGAAACTGATGACATTTGCTGCCATTTCAATTAACCAAGAACAAATTTAGATGGTTCGAGCCACCTAGTTTCGGTACCCAATTAAGGATACGCCTGGCGTTCATCTGATATCCAGGCGTCTTCTCTGAACATGATAGTCCTCCTTGCAAGTATGGAGGATGTAATACTTTCACAGCTTAAAAACAGTGAAGAAGGCGCGACCCGCTCGCCACGACGCCACTGCCTCGCCCATTGGTCATCGCAAGTGGTGCGATTGTTCCGCTTCTAATTCTCTGCATTTTGAATGGTGTGAAAGAAGAGATAAGAAGAAAGAGCAGGCATCAACAAAGGGGGACTCGCCCTTCCGCCGTTTCCTTCGCCTCACGTTCAAGCGCGATTCAGCAAGGAGCTCTATATGACGCATTGCGAGCGGGTTTCCAAAGTTTTTTTCCTTCACTTGTTAATAACATCTTGCAATTAGTATTTGAGCCACACAAATCACCATTTTGAGCGCGGGCGTGCCTTTGAGTGGATGATAACCACAACGCAACACACGTGTTTGTGACCACTGTGTATGCGAGCAGCTCTTAGAGGTTTACCCTGTCTTTATTGAGCATCTAACTATGTTGCCTATAGCTCTTAGCTTATAACGACGAATCTGATGGGCGGTGTCAGGAGGCGTCAATGAGCTTTTCCTTCGAATGGTTTTTTTTCCATCTGAACGCGACCGCTAATGGCAGAAAAAGACTGCTTCGCGCTTTTTTACCCACCCCGTCGATTGCGATGATGTCTACTATGTGTTCAAGCAGAGGCTTTGGAGGTAATAGCAGAGCGGAACAGTCCAGGCTTTGCAGCTAAGTTGCCTGTGAATCCATGGGTGTTTTCAGGCAGATCGACCACAAAGAGTTCTCACTCTCGGACAGAGGTATATCGCTACGGTTTTCTCAGCTCTGTCAATCTGAAAGAAGCCAAACCAACCTGCATATCTCGTGACGCAGTAGCAAAATGTTGTGAGTCCTCGAACCAGCAACAAGACCATATGATCCTAGAGTGCTCTTTTGTTGGACGACCACACTTTTTGGTAGCAAAAACCATTCACTGAAAAATCACCACTCATTAAAACTAAGGTTCAAGAGAAAAACGACTGTGAGATGAGAAAATTTGGTAAATTAACATACAATCATCATTTTGTTCGCGGTAGATAATCGCTTTGCGGTCTCTGCTGACACTCAGTAACCGAGTACCAGTTGGACACCATTCGAACTGTGTAACCGTCAATTGGTGCCCTGTTAATAAAGAAGATTATCCATGTATTCATAATAAATGACTGTGAAGTCAGTATCAGCCCTGGAAGCTAGCGACACAGTAACAAAGCCACCCCCCCCCCCCCCCCCCCCCCTCCGCCAAGGAATGGCCGAGTTATAGGTTGAAGTGCCTTGCCTCAAATCTGTACCTATGAGCCTCACACTTGATCTGTTAGTGGTTTCACCGGCAGCTATCAGACAATATAACTTGTGGTCAAGGTGATTCAGGCTGAGCCAAAGCATCTTGCCATAAATCGGGTTTTTTCTGCTAGCTTTTGAGCAAAAAGCAGGTCATCAAACAAAACAGTCATCACCGGATACTCCGACTTCTTGCTCCATCTGAGTGTCCGCAACGCAAATCACTGCGTCATGCGCTTGGACTAGCCATTAAGTATACTATGAAACAAGTCAAAAACAAAACGTTTGCTTCTAAGGAGTGTGCAAATGCTCAGGAGAGCGATTCCTGGTTTGGTGGAGGGGTTGTCGCTGGTTCCTATCGACCATTGATGAAAATTGCCTTCCATGGAAGTTATGGTGGTGTGTCTTTGCGAAACTATCCAATTGACCACGCGCCTCTTGCTCTGAAAATGTAGATGTCTTACTTAGATGACATGGTGTGACTTTAGCAGGAACTAGTAAAAGAAACTAGCGAACTAGAATGTATTCCCTCCCCCTCCCCCTAAGCCGAGCGGCGCCAATGAGAGCCAACAGTACGTGAAAGGAACAATGTGCAGTTTCGCCACGCGATTGCAGCCGTCCGCATTGGCATTTTTGCGCCTACCCTTGTTGTTGAGCAACTATACCCCAGTATCAAGTGATTAGGTTCGGCTTTGGGTAGGCTCAAGCGCAGCTCACTAGAAGCACTCAAACATCCCCAGGACGCACCCCCAGTTCATAATTGCCAAGGACCGGTAGCAGAGCACCGTTGTCCCGCAGGTTGATCGCAATAGCGTATACTTCATAGCCATGGCCATATAGTTTGTGAATCTCAGGCCAAAGAGTGTTTTGTTGCAAACAGTCTTCTGTGGGAGGAGCTGAAAAGAAACAGAGGAACTATGAATCATCCATCACCTTTTTTTGATAACTAAATGAATTCACGTACTACGAAGTTCACCAGGCGCTGCTTGGAAAGCCGCTTCCTCCCAATGAGCATCACCATCGCCCTCCAATTGAACTGCCTCGGCATCCTCAATTGCTTTTTGTTAGACAGACCAGGCAGGACTTCGTTGCCACCATTAAGATGGGGAAACTGCGAGTCTCCAAAAATCTCTTAAAATCCGTTATGAGACACACGGATGTTACAGCATTCAGGTCAACAACGCAGTTCGACCGTAATCCACCGGTTTACGCGGTGGCATGAGCAGTTTAGAGTATGTTTGCAGAAAGGTCGGTTTCGCCCGAACCTAGCGACAAAACGATTACCTGTTTTCGCTGCGGACTGTTGGGGTGAAGCAGTGTGAAGTAGTGTTCCGTCCAAAGCGCTCTGTGCTTTGCTTGTTGAAGCCGCATGCGACAAAAAGTGGAAGAAAAACAAGTACATAATACGAACGATATCGATACGTCTTATCACTTGGTCGCTCTGAACAATTGGTTGGAGAACGGGTTTGGCACCGCGATAAAATTCATACCTGATATGATTAACCGTCCGCAGCGTAATGTACACTTATATGTAGCGCGTAGAACGCCGCTAAAATAAGCGATACCGCATCGCGACCTCATGCCACACTCGAAGCCCAGATAGAAGCCGGCTGATATTTGTCAGAACACAACTTCTGAGATGCTTGATGGCCCTTCCTTAGAAGAACTTGTGCTGCAAGAACGACCTCCGGTCCATTGCGAAAAGCCGAGCAATGTTGCATGCGCTGCCTCGCAAACGGCGTTTAGGACTTGGAGAAGCACGAAATCTTCTCCTCGAGCGCCAGTCACGTATACGGACGCGTGAACAATTAAGCCTGTGACTTTCAGTGTGGAAGTGACAAACGAGGACAGAGCTACGCTGGAGCACCACTAATGGCATTGCTCTGTGGCCCATGACTTGAGGTCGTGCGCACTTCAGGGGGAACGAATCCTTTCTGGTCCTGCAAAGTGCTGATCTAAGTCACTTACACCTCATTACTGTGCAGTGATTACCTTTTGTGGGACATACACCCTTGTGGTTTTATCCTCACCGACAGAAAGAAATGGAGATCTATTTCCGCTAAGGATGCCATAGCAACATCACGCACAGGCAACATGCAGCTGGCATTACCGTGCGTCCCATCCCATACATCAGCTTCCTACAAAGTGTAGCCACTTCAATCATGACTCATCAAGAAAGCCAGAAACCTGAATTACCTCTTCCGAAAGCCACGCGTAAAGTCCTCCAAAGTACGAAGAAGCCACAACTTGCTGGGCATCAGGAGAAAACGCAGCGCTAAAGAATCCAGCAGCTTGCCCTCCAACAATTCCTAACCGCACCTACAAGCAGATCATAAGGTCTTTATGAATTCACTGGTTCAAGAATGTCACCTACCACATCACATCCAGAGTTTTCTTCATTGAGTCCTCTTTCAGAATGATGACAGTTTTTTATCGCTAGGAAGACGTGAGTAAGGTCGTCGCCAGGTTTTATCCATGAGGTGAATGGCCAGCCCAATGCATCGGTGCCCTGCTAACACGGCCTCAGTGCTTATAGACCAAGAGAGTTCTGAAAGTTGATGAGCAACCTCCATCAAACCGGGTTTATGCAAAAAAAAACACACACGATAGAAGCCAAAACTAACCGCCCTCGGCATCAGCAATTTTGAAACAATTTTTAGTGACATTTAATTCATCAGCGTCTTTTTTATCCTTTTCCTCTTCGATGCGCCATAGCTTTACGTACGAATCTTGGCCCCGCTTGTGCCAGCAAGATTGTCGAGAAACTCTGCACAAAGAAAAATTATTATATATAAAATATAAGGACGAGCACGATTAGATAGGAATTTCAAATTGACACGCAACGATTTTGAAAGCAATGGATGTGCGACCCATGTCGTCATTGAGCGCAGCTGGTGATTGGAAAGAACTCGTTTCATCGCCTGGAAGAACATTTGCCAAAGAGAGTAGGGGAGAAATAGAAGCCGCGAAAAGCAACCTTCTGGCAAGCGGTCTCATGTAGGATCGAATTGTTCTTTTTGTCTGTGCCCTAGGCAAGAAGCTCCACGCCTGAATACAAATTTATCAGATGACGGTAGATAAAAATGAGGGAGGAAATCTGTTCTTTTACTGGCTCCACTTCGAAAGACCAAGTTCCTTAACCTGAGGCTAGCACTTTGGAATCACGAAATAAACGTCGAAAGAAATGAGAGAATTCTTCAACTCCAGCTTTTATTTCGATCATAGCTAATCAAAACCACGTAGCGGATCCTCGGTTAAAGTGAGTAACAAGGTGCATTTGCTTTAAAGCTTTTTCCACGATAGGGAAATTTCGCAGATCTCGTGACATCTCCAGTACCCTTCATAAACGCTTGTGGGTGCTCAGTCGCATAGCTTTCTAGCCTTTGTAACATCTGAAAACCTCCATTTTCCTTGCACGCAGGAGTCGTTATGTCAATAGGATTGCTCCGACTGTCCATCACACGGAAATTCCCATTCGCCAGTCGCCAACTATGAACGACCCTTAGTAAATCCCAACTATGCGAAGAAATGTATGAAAGTTTCAGCCTTCTCCTAACCCGCAGTTAACACCTTTCTATCACGTTTACTTGCCCAATTTCAATTTCACGTCGTTCAACCGAACATTACTATTTGACTTTCCCATATGCCAATCGAGGCCAGTCATCCTTCTATCCCGTTGAGAACCCTCTGGAGGGAATAGTTTAGATAGATCTTAGAAACCTAGAACTCAAGGCAGTTCGATGACACATCGTTGTGGAATAACTGATGAACGTACCAGTTGGCAGCACCTGCATATCGGCGGCTACGGCAAATATTGTTCCCAGATCATCAATTTCGAAGAAATGGCTGAGAGACAGTGCGCCCCCGAGACGTTCCAACCACCAGACTCGCACTCCGGATTTGGAGTCGTCAATCTATAAGGTAAACATGGCAATAAATAGAGAGACGCTGGAGCATAAAGGTTTTTGCAAAGGGGCTCACGTCAAGCGCGTCAGCAAAATTTTTCACGACCTTCTACGAATCAAGCGATGCCAGTACTGCTGCAACCTATCCCTAGGTCAGTACCCCACCGTTTTTTGGAAGTGGTCTGGTCCCCAAATCCTTAGAAACCAGCAAACAGAGGACCATCTGGAGAGTTCTACAGACACGCTTAGAGTGATTAGCGTCTTCGAAGTTTCGAAAGAATACAATACCCATGAAGCGGCCACAGTCGTCTTCTCGAGCGATGTTGTGCCACAGAGAGTTCCAACAGAGCCCTTGATACCTTCTGCAATGCAGTTCATAACATTTCACGAAGGAGTTTCCGAAAATATCAGAATTGACAAGAAACATGCCTAATGAAGTAAGGTGTTTAACTACTGGCTTCCCATCTTCAACACAGTATATAACGACCTTGCCATCAGAGCCGCCACTCAGAAACAGGTCAGCTAAACAACGAAATTAATCAGATAATCCAACAATGAGACTCCCTGAAGATGCTCTCATACAAAACAGTTGCGGACTACAAATCATTCTAAGAAGAGTAACGCTCCAGCAATATCGCAATAATCAGACGTTGTCGCTTGCAGGGTGAACCAGGGAGCGAGGTTAGAAGTGGTGTTTAAGATCCAGTGAAGGTGTCAGCAAAATTTTCACGAAAAAAGACTCGAAATTGAAAAATACCTTTGTCATGATGAAGAGCACTTGTTGTGACTCGCTTCAGTACAGTAATCGGGCCTTTATGGTGTCGATCAGAAACCGAGACAATGTGACCAGATGAGGACTGAAACGTTAAAAATGGTTTTGAATACCCAATCGCACAAAACTTCCAGGATGTCTCTATGAGCTTTTGACCAATAGTGTGACCCATGTGGAGAGCTGAAGCTCTTTGACCCGCAGGTTCAAATGTTTGATACATAAAAACAATGTATAAAAAGCACTGTGCAATCTTCAGGCATAGACTGCTCGGAAGATTTAAAAAAGGTGAGTTGTTTTTGAGATTGTTTCTAAGGATCTCCCACCCCTGTTCTCTCAATGTTGTTTGAAATGGTTGTGTGGGTTATTTCAATAATATGCTATAGTATGCTTCGACTTTGAAGGCTCCGAAGAAGTCGATCTACTCCGGAACGCCAGCATGATAGAGCATCTTTATCAATCTCGGGAGCCTGGCAAACCATACTGAAGCGCAATATATCCTATTTATACCAGTTTTATCTCATCATCGACAACCATCTTACGGACCAAAACAGAGGTACATCGCTAAGAATATCGAGGAATTTCATACGGTATCAATTACACTTAGCCATGGACCTGAAGCCATGCTCGAGTATGAATGGAGCTCCCATTCACGTTAGCAAAACTGCGACGCATTTACAAAGTCAACAATTCCTTAGTGTTTTCATTTCTGAGCACGCTCGTCTTCTCTACCATCATAACTGACCAACTACCCTCCCGGCCGCGTTCATACTTTACGAACGTGGAAAATTCGCGATTTCGGAAACTTCAGGCCTTATGAAAGTTCACATACCGATATAAGAGGAATCAGTGATTCCGGAGAATGTCCGAATGTTCAATGAGCGGGATTAATCAATCTTCATGCGATTTTTTTGCTGCACGCCGCCTATTCCTACATCCTCCCAATGGCGGATTCATCACATCCGCAGAGTAGAGCGCCCTGGTGTGGTTCTTCCCTTTGCCATTTACATAGAGGTAATCAGCTGGCGGAGGTGGTGTAGTGACAAGTGGCGCGCTTACCACTCGCGCGGCGCCGGGTTCGAATCCGGGTCGACTCCCGCCCAGGCCAACCAAGCCTTCTACCCTCCGGGGACGGTGAATTGGTACCAGATTCGTCTGGAGGATAAAACACTGACTTGTACATCGGCTGGCCACCGCAAGTCATTGTATAGGCCACATCGCATTCAATAAGCCACTACGATTCTGAATGGAAGTAGAATGCGTGCCGCATCCCACAAAGGGATTGATCAACGGCGAAGACTTTATCCTTATCCTTTAATCAGCATTGGTCTCCCGAACATCTACCTTTAGAAACGTTCGCAGCAAGAAGATATGGAAGGAGACTTTCAACAATTCGAATCCAACTCACTCCTGGAAATGTCTGAAGAACCACTTGTCCATCCGATGCAAAAACAAAATGATCACTTGTTTGACAAGCGGCAAGGCAATGTGAACGTGGATTCACGCCTGCGGAGGTGAACACCTCTTCCACCGATACACTGACCATTCAATACTTGTAAGGTGTTCGCTTGTATAATAATTTTGTTCCTGTTGGTTTCCTAGAAGCTAGCGTTTTCAGCGAGTAAATCAAAAATCTTCACTCAACACCGACAAGTTTCCGGAATAGTTTTCACTAGAATTCGCTCATGAAACAAAATTCCGAATTTATTTTTTACCATGTATTGTGCACGTAAAAGCTGTACAACTACAGATTATACAGAACCCAAACTAAACAATAACAATTTATTCCCAACAAAACAGTGGTGAAAATCGTTCAACGAAGTCTTCGTGCTTCTCTTTCGGCTTCCAGCAGAGTCAAGATATCTCCTTCACGCACAGGTCCCTTCACGTTTCGAATGATGGACCGGTTACCGTTGTCGTCCATGAACTCAACTCGAACCTGAAATAATCGCAGTCTAGACATAATATTCTAATATTAACTAGTTTACGACAGAGGATCAAAAATGCGAACGTTTCTCATTCCATTGCATTTTTCAGTCCGTCCATGCTTAGTACACTTCAACAAAAAGCAAAGGTAGCCAATTTTTGGTGCAACCTGCGCGAAAAGTACAGGTCAAAGGAATGATGTAAAACGACGCGTGATTTTTGTGGAGAGTTGCTCAAAAAATTTCCTAGCAGACTGGAACAGAAATGAAAAAAATAGGGATTTTAAGCTATGAAACCAGAGAAATGATGAATTGTGCTCGCGACTGAATCACATAAGAGCACAAATGGGCGGAAAACGACAAAACTAAGAACTATCCTAAGAAGCAAACAAAGAATTCATGTAGCAGCAAAAGCACTGTTTCTCAAGACCGACGAAGACAGTGTTAATGGAAAAATATCCTGAATTCACAAAAACAGCTGAAGAAGAATATGTGGCCAGCACACAGCTAGACTCCTGCTGAGGAGGCGACAAATACAGTTATATTCTACCTGATGAAAATGGATGATGTGGGCTGCTAAACGAGGTCTTCGTTAATGTGAACCAGGGGTAAAGGTAAGTATATAGGGGGAAATTAGGCGAGTGATCAGATGAAAGTTAATTGGACCAGGGACGTCGAGAAGGGGAGAGACTAATATCCCTCAAGGGGCGTGCTCTGTGTATATGAATCCCCCTGATGTTTTGACGAAGAACGTATCTTGGGTACTTGTCTTATGATGGAAGTGAAAAACGAAGACATATGTTCCATTTTGGAAATTCAGCGCTTACTATGTTGTTCATATAGTGTATTGAGTCAATTGAAGGTGCTGCTACTAAAACTTATTTCCTTTCATTTTTTTAGGTTGTAAAGAAAGTCTTCTCTGAGCACGCTATCCATAACCGCGCCTCGTTGTTAACAGTAGAACTAACAACTTAACAGTAGTGAAAAATTGCTCTCTACTTGTTATTCACATAATTAAAATAGGATCCATCTTTGTTGGACACGTTTCCCCTGTCATCTATTAGGAACTTCTATAGAAGCACCTTGTAAAAGCAGGTCAAAAATACATATATGCATTGCGCTCTAGAAGATGCAGTCACTATCCCACCGTCACTTGTTAGCATCATCTTTTCCGGTAAGAGACATTTAGGGTAACAGTCACCAGCATAAAATGATGAGCGACGCAGTTCTTTTTTGTTAAAAGCAAACTGCTAATTGCCTACTACTACTTATACTCAGGTGCAGCCGAACGGCCGTTGACAAACCTGCTTCACTTGTTCCCAGGGAATTTTTCTAGTGGGTTCTGCACAAATCCTCGATCAGGGCAAGGACTTTTTGTGCATTCAGCAAAGT